CGAGGCAGCCCGGCCGTGGCGGTGGTGGCTGCGGGGCGGTTGCGGGAAGTCCTCTTCCTTCCTGAGCGGGGCCGGAGGGAGCACCGGCGGGCCCGGGAGGCGTGCGCTGCCTCTACGCTGAGAATGGGTGTGTAGCACCGGCCTCCTCCCTGACTTTACCAGCACCTGCTGACCTGTTTATCCCTAAAACCTGCGAAGTCTCCAGCTGGGCTTTGCTGGCAACACAGAAAGCAGGTGCAAATTAAAAGGAGAAATTGTTCCGAAGCACTAGAAAATAATAAAATGTCTAACTTGGCCCTTAAATATGTCAGATGATGATGCTATTGGACACAGCCTGTTTTCTGTGGGATTTCCTATTTGGTAGGTGAGATTTACTAAAGCATGTTCGTGCTGGAAGATGTCCTCTGCTATTTGTTTCAAAAGTAGAAATTAATTACTGAGAGACTGCTTTAGGAGTCTCTGTTTTCCTATTTCTGAGCCTTAGGGAGAGGATGCAGCCAGAAGTGCTCGTTCAAGCAAGCATTTCTAAGCTGCGGTTGGATGTTCTGGGTTTAGCAGATGATCAACTTAAAATCGGGTTGGAAATTCTTGCATTGCCTGATTATTTTCATGGGGCGCAGCGTGCCCTGGTTTCTTTGATGCCCCTAGCATTTCAGATGCAACAGGTAGAGACTTGTGCAGTGCTTGTAACCTGTGTATCCGCAGCAAAAAGCTCAGAAGGATCACATATCGGTACTTGGTATAAGAAGAAGCATGTTTATTTAAGGTTACCTAAAAGGGAAACCGCGTACCCTCATCCTAATGCTGATCTTCCGTGAAATCAAAGTGCTCTTTGGGGAAGCGTGGATTTCTCTTTCCTCCCCTTCCTTCTCTTGCCGGTTTTCTCCTCTAAACCCTGGTGAATAATGCATTGAGCTGTGCTGCATGTAATGGTCTTACCTGTACCACATAATTAACTATTTACTGCTCTTTAGCTAGCGGTTATTCACGGGGAGGAGAAGGCTGTGCCATTAGACGAAGCACATTCTCTGTGCTCAGTTGTGGGGAAAGACTCCGGGTCCCTGGCTGAGGAGGGAGCAGTCCCGCGCAGAAACCTGTGGCTGATGCTGCTGCCAGGGAGCACTAATTCCTGCTTAGTTAGGATTTATCTCTGCTCTGTCTTGCCAGTCCTTTTCCCCTTTTCCTGCCCCTTCCTTCTCTTGGTTTGGGCACTGTAACTTTTGCAAGTGAAGAGAGCAGGAGTTGGTGATACTCCAGGCTGCTCTTTTCCATCTCCAGTAGGCTCGGTTGCAGCAGGACGTCTGCCTCTGTGCAAGCCACTTAGCTGGGATAGATGACAGCTAAATCGTGGTGTCAAGTGGTGGATGCGTTTGCCTTTCGCTGCATCCTCCTCCTGCGATTTTTTTTTTTGAGCATGTTCTTGACTATTAAAAAAAAAAAAAACAACAAAAAACCAACAAAACCTGTTTGTGTCTTTCTGCTTTACAGCCCTGCACACAGGCAGGGCTGCACTGAAATTGCAGGTGACAACTGAGAGAGCCCAGAAGTCACAGTGGAGTTGTGAATTTTGAGGTTGCTGATACTTCTGAGGAAGCAGGTTGTTTTAAAATGAAAAGAAGTATTTTAAAAAAAGGGAAGGAGAAAAGGGGGAAAAAAGCTCAGCTAATAGACGTGCCAGGATCTTGCTAACATGAGCACTGAGGTAGCAGACAAACCCGGAGTGCCTCTGCTCAACACCAGGTGTTAATGCTTACTTGGGGAGCATCATCTCTCTTCCTGTAAATCATGCCATGCACTGTTGCAGTCTCTTTGGACAGGCAGCAGGTAGGGAAGACGAATTTTACGGCTGCGTGTTGGCATTTTTACTGCCGGCTCGTGAGCCCTGCCGCTGCCTTGGGACATGCTCTCGGGACAGCTGCCTTTGTCACTAAAGCACCTTCCCTTGCAAATTATTGAGAGCTTTGTGAATGATGAATGTTGGGTGGTGGCTTTTGATGCTCTCCGCCCCAGATCTGTAGTTCTGGAGATGTGTCTGCCTCTGTAGGCAGCTCACCCTGAGCTCAGGGGCTTTCGCCAAGCCTGGTCCTGCTCCAGCTCCTTGCTGCATTTAGCTGCGGTCTGCCATTGCAGCCCACAGCAGGATGCAGAAGTGGTCTGGGGAGGCCGTCTTTCTGTTTCAAAATAAATAGATACTATTTGAGATGCCTAGATGGCATCCAGAATAAAACAGGGGAGCAAGGTTGAGGCTGACAGTGCTTTGGTGTGCCTTTGTTGAGTTGGTCATTTCTGCTTCAAGTCAGAGTGCAGCAACTTCTGCCGCTGGCTGGGAGCATCCTCCCTGCCTTGAGACCACAGCCTCTGCAGGACTTCTTGGTGGTGGGG